CTCTTGAAGATGGGATAGAGTGGTTATTTGCACAGACTGGGCAGTCTGTGGCCTGGTATCTAGTCTCTGTGAGGTGAGGCACCTGCATTCCCTTCCTAAGGCTGGGCTGGGAAAACCAGCTTAAGAGAACTGGAGGTCATGATCATTGTTAGTGATTTCCTTAAGACTGCTCACTGTCTTTGCTTGCTCGCTCTGTTCTCTTAAGTCACATGCTGTAATGTCCTGCCATCTATTTTCTGCTTTGGGACCTTCAAATTCCATAATTCATTCAGACTTCTCTTTCTAGAGACAAGGTCTCACTATGTTGCCCAAGCTGGAATGTAGTGGCTGTTCATAGGCATGATCATAGCACACTACAGCCTTGAACTTTAGCTCAAATGATCTTCCTGTCTCAGTCTTCCAAGTAGCTAGGATATAGGTATGTGCCATCATACCTAGACTGCTCTGTCTAGATTACTTACCCAATGCCCAGCTTCACTCTGGCTTTACATAGTACTGTAATTATGACATTGACAGCCAGCTTCAAGTAAAGGCCTTTCTTCCTTAGCCCTGTTCGTAGAGCTATGGTTTTGAAGTTTTAGTGCATCAGAATTACCCATGAGGGTGAGAGAAGGGGTGCTGGATACTTGTTTAAAATGCAGATCCCTGGTGTCAACTGCTAGATACTCTAATTCACTAGGTATGGGATGGTAACCAGGAATCTGCAGTTTCATCAGCCTCCCAGGTAATTCTGACACTAGTCTTCATCTCCAGACCATATTTGGAGAAACTTTGACTTAAAGGCCTCTGTCATTTCTTTACCCTTAAAGGGGCAGGGAAGATATTGAGTTCTTTACTTGGATCCTGAAAGCTTGTGAACTTGAGTCTTTTGCCTATCATGCAATGGGGACAGTGGGTAACTGTCTCTGTGTATGGGCACCTATTTTCTTGTTACCATAGTAGGAGCAGAGCCCAGATTAGATGGAAGGGCTTATGATTCCCCAAGGCAGGTCAGTGACTTTGGGGTTTACAGGGATCTTTTTCTTGGATTAAAAAAGCAGGCCTGAATGTAGACCTGAGGACTGCTAATCAGTCACACTTCAGACCTGTCTCTGGAGTTTTTCTCATCACCATATACCTTAATCCTGTCCTAGTATAGGCCTTCCTCATTTGGTCTCCACATTGTCCTAATTCCCCATTGTGACCATTCTCCATGATTTTTTCACTCATCCCACAAAAGAACCTGATCTTTTCTTTCTCCTCTTAAAATTCTCTATTGCATTCCTATTACTTAGACAATCAAGTCATGATGTCTTAGGTTGGAATAAAGTCTTGCACAGTTTGGCCCAAATTGTGGCCTGAAAGGCCCTGCAATATCTGGTCCCTGCATGTTTGTCAAGTCTCATTCCAGGCTCCTCCTCCTCTACTGCTGGCACCTTCATCTGCTCATAGTTCGTTGACCCCTTCTCCAATGGTTTCTGGCCTTAGGTCCTTTGCAGTGCTGTATAGCCTCTGCCTGGAACACTCTTTTATTTTATTTTATTTTTATTTGAGACAGAGTCTTGCTCTGTTGCCCAAGCTGGAGTGCAGTGGTGTTATCTTGGCTCACTGCAACCTCTGCCTCCTGGGTTTAAGCAATTTTCCTGCCTCAGCCTCCTGAGTAGCTGGGTCTACAAGTGCATGCCACCACGCCTGGCTAATTTTTATATTTTTAGTAAAGATGGGGTTTCACTATGTTGGCCAGGCTGGTCTTGAACTCCCGACCTCAGGTGATCTTCCTGCCTTGGCCTCCCCAAGTGCTGGGATTACAGGTGTGAGCCAGCACACCTGGCCTGTGGAACACTCTTTACTGTGCTTTTTGCCTCAATTAACTATCCATTGCCTCTTTTTTTGTTTTTTTTTTTTGAGATGCAGTGGTCCAGCCTGGAGTGCAGCAGCACAGTCTCGGCTCACTACAACCTCCGCTTCCCGGGTTCAAGCGATTCTCCTGTCTTAGCCTCTCAATTAGCTGGAATTACAGGTACCGTACCTGCCACCACGCCTGGCTAATTTTGTATTATTTTTTTAGTAGAGTTGGGGTTTCACAATGTTGGCCAGGCTAGTCTCAAACTCCTGACCTCAAGTGATCCATCCACTTCAGCCTTCCAAAGTGCTGGGATTACAGGTGTGAGCCACTGTGCCAGCAGCTCTGCTCTTTGTATATACTGTTGCCTCTGTGAGAAACATCCCCTCTCTTGTCAATTTGGCAGATTCCTTCTTGTTCGTTACTACTTCCTTAAGCATTTCTTTGACTTCTGAGGCAGTGCTGGTTCAACAGAGGTAGCACTTTGTTCCTCTCTTATACACCTTTTTTTTTTGAGACAGAACCTAACTCTTGCCCAGGCTGGAGTGCAGTGACTCGATCTTGGCTTACTGTAACCTCTGCCACCTGGGTTCAAGCAATTCTCATGGCTCAGCCTCCCAAGTAGCTGGAATTAGAGTTGTGCACCACCACACCTGACTAATTTTTGTATTTTTAGTGAAGATGGGTTTTACTATGTTGGCCAGACTGGTCTTGAACTCCTGACCTCAGGTGATCCACTTGCTTCAGCCTCCCAAAGTGCTGGGATTATAGGCATGAGCCACCATGACCGGCCTCATAGGCTTTTCAACTGTATGTTGTGATTTCACCTGTGTAAGAGATAGATGGTAATAACTCTCTTTTACAGGTGACAACCCAGAGGTGCCAAGACAGGGGTCCCCAACCCATCTGTGGCCCATCAGGAACGGGTTGCACAGCAGGAGGTGAGTGGTGGGCGAGTGAGCAAAACTTCATCTGTATTTTTACAGCCATCACTTGCATTGCTGCCTGATCCTGTCAGATCAGTGGCAGCATTAGATTCTCATAGGAGCGGGAACCTATTGTGAACTGAGCAAGTGAGGGATCTAGGTTGCATGCTCCTTGTGAGAATCTAATGCCTGATGATCTGTCACTGTCTCTTATCTCCCCAACATGGAATCATCTGATTGCAGGAAAACAAGCTCAGGGCTCCCACTGATTGTACATTATGGTGAGTTGTATAATTATTTCATTATATATCACAACATCATAATAATATAAATAAAGTACACAGTAAATGTAATGTACTTGAATCATCCTGAAACCATTCCCTCCCCTCTGTCCATGGAAAAATTGTCTTCCATGAAACTGGTCCTTGATGCCAAAAAGCTTGGGGACGGCTGCTCTAACAGATTAATTAACTTGGAAATGGCAGAACTCATATTTGAACCCTGATGTATAGAAGAGCCCTCATTTCTACCTCACTATGCTCCCTCTAAGAAAACCAATCAGTGTGTATACCTATGTAACAAACCTGCACGTTCTGCACATGTATCCCAGAACTTAAAGTATAATAATAATAATAATAAAATAAATTCAATTTACCATAAAAAAAAAAACCCAGCAGACTGAAAGACACTGAGGTGAAAGAGTGCTTTTAAAAAAATTAGTTAGGTAATAAAACTTAAAGGTCGGGTATAGGGGCTCATTCCTGTAATCCCAGCAGTTTGGGAGGCTGAGGTGGGTGTATCACCTGAGATCAGGAGTTTGAGACTAGCCTGGCCAACATAGTGAAACCCCATCTCTACTAAAAATACAAAAAATTAGCTGGGCATGGTGGCGGGTTCTTGTAATCCCAGCTACTCAGGAGGCTGAGGCAGGAGAATTGCTTGAACCCAGGAGGTGGAGGTTGCAGTGAGCCGAGATCGCACCATTGCATTCCAGTCTGGGTGATAGTGCGAGACTCCATTGCAAACAAAAAATAAAAAACAAAAAAAACTTAAAAAAAATATTTCCTCAGAGCCCAGGCACAGTAGCTCACGCCTGTAATCCCAGCACTTTGGGAGGCTGAGGCAGGTGATCACTTGAGGCCAGGAGTTCCCAGACCCGCCTGGCCCACATGGCAAAACACTTGTCTCTACAAAAAATACAAAAATTAGCTGGGTGCAGTGGCACACACCTGTAGTCCCAGCTACTTGGGAGGCTGAGGCAGGAGAACCGCTTGAACCTGGGAAGTGGAGGTTAACTCTAGCCTGGGTGACAGAGTGAGACTCTGTCTCAAAAAAAAAAAATTTCCTCAGAGTTAAATACAGTAAAATGAATACTTTTCACAAGCCATTAATAAAGACAGCAGAATTATAAAAGGTGACCATAGCATTGAGAGGATGATGTGTATTTCATGTATTTCCTTGATCATATCCGTGATTCCTTGTGGTACCGGTAAAGCCAACACATACAGCCTAGTAGAAATGAGTTTGGCTGGGCACGTTGGCTCATGCCTGTAATCCCAGCTCTTTGGGACTCAGAGACAGCCGAGATTGCACTACTATACTCCAGCCTGGGTGACAGCGTGAGACCCTGTCTCTAAAAAGGAATGAGCTGAGGTGAAATGTTATTTCAAGTCAAAGCAAAGAAAACATCAATCATTAAGTTTCTTGTAGGATATATAAGGAGTGAAATCTGAACTTTTTTTTTTTTGAGTCAGGGTCTAGCTATCACTGTCACTCAGGCTGGAGTGCAGTGGTGCAATCTCCACTTACTGCAGCTTCAACCTCCCAAGCTCCTGCCATCCTCCCACATCAGTCTCCCATGTAGCTAGGACTGCAGGCTTGTGCCACTATGCCTGGCTAATTTCTGTTTATTTTTTTGCAGAGATGGGGTCTCACTATGTTGCCCAAATTGGTCTCTAAGTGGCCTCAAGCAGTACTCTCGCCTCGGCCTCTGAAAGTGCTGGGATTATAGGCATGAGCCACCATGCTTGGCCTGAATGTATTTGTTTAGGGAAAAGCTGTGCAAAATTGATGTGCAAAGCCCTTAATATGTTTTACTTTAAAAATACATTTTATTGGCTGGGTGAGGTGGCTCATAATCCCAGCACTTTGGGAGGCTGAGGTGGGCGAATCACCTGAGGTCAGGAGTTTGAGACCACCCTGGCCAACATGGTAAAATCCTGTCTCTACTAAAAATACAATTAGCTGGACCTGGTGGTGCATACCTGTAATCCCAGCTACTTGGGAGGCTGAGGCAGGAGAATTGTTGAAACCCAGGAAACAGAAGTTGTAGGGAGCCGAAATACCCCACTGCACTACAGCCTGGGCAAGAGAGTGAGAACTTATCCCCCTGCTCCCCAAAACAACAACAGCAGCAACAACAACAAAAAGTAATGGATGGTTGGATGCAGGAAAAGAAAAATGTCACAGGTATACACAAACACACTGATATGTATGGAACAATCTCCAAAATATGTAATTAAGAGAAAACTAAAGAAAGGTGCAGAATAGTATTTATGACTAGTGTAGTAGTGTTAGCATTTGTATAAAAAAAGGGGAGAAACTGTGTACTTGTTATATACCCATACTATTTCTGAACGTTTTCTTTTTCTTTCTTTTCTTCTTTTTTTAATAGAGACAGGGTTTCACCATGTTGCCCAGGCTGGTCTAGAACTCGTGGACTCAAGCAATCCACCTGCCTTGGCCTCTCAAAGTGCTGGAATTATAGGCGTGAGCCACCATGCCTGGCCTTTTTACTTTTTAATATCTTACTCTGTTGCTGAATTTTTTTTTCCCAAATGAACGTTAGTGTTTTATTTTTTTGAGACAGTCTTGCTCTGTTGCCCAGGCTGGAGGGCAGTGACGCAATCTTGGCTCACCGCATCCTCCGCCTCCTAGATTCAAGTGATCTTCCTGTCTCAGCCTCCCAAGTAGATGGGATTACAGGTGCATGCCACACTGCCCAGCTAAGTTTTGTATTTTTAATAGAGATGGGGTTGCACCATGTTAGTCAGGCTGGTCTTGAACTCCTGACCTCGTGATCTGCCTGCCTCAGCCTCCCAAAGTGCTGGGATTAAAGGTATGAGCCACCGTGCCCCACCCAAACATTACCTTTTTTTTTTTTTGAAACGGAATCTCGCTCTGTTGCCCATGCTGGAGTACAGTGGCTCAGTCTTGTCTCAATGTATCCTTCCACCTCCTGGGTTCAAGCGACTCTCCTGCCTCAGCCTCCTGAGTAGCTGGAATCACAGGCATGTGCCACCATGCCCAGCTGATTTTTTTTTTTTTAATTTTTAGTAGAGATGGGGTTTTGCCACGTTGGCTAGGCTGGTCTCGAACTTTTGACCTCATAATCCACCCATAATCAGCCTCCCAAAGTGCTGGGATTACAGGCATGAGCCACCGTGGTCAGCCAGCCATTTTAAGTCTGTTTGAAATTGTGGTTAAAAAAAACCATAAAACTTGCCATTTTAACCATTTTTAAGTTTATGTTTTAGTAGTCTTAGGTATATGCATATTTTGTGTAACAAATCTCCAGAACTTTTTCATCTTGCAAAACTGAAATTCCATACTCATTAAGCAACAACTCTTCTTGCCCCACTCCTCCTCTCTCTCTGGTAACCACCATTCTACTTTCTGTTTCTATGAATTTGATTACTATCTCATATAGAGTCATATAGTATTTTTGTGTGTGTCAGGGGCGTATTTTACTTAGCATAATGTGTAAGGGTTCATCCATGTTGTAGCATGTGACACAGGATTTCTTTCTGGTTTAAGGCAGAATAATGTATGCATCGGCCGGGCGCAGTGGCTCACGCCTATAATCCCAGCACTTTGGGAGGCCGAGGTGGGTGGACCACGAGGTCAAGAGATCGAGACCATCCTGGCCAACATGGTGAAACCCTGTCTCTACTAAAAATACAAAAATTAGGCGGGTGTGGTGGCACACGCCTGTGGTCCCAGCTACTTGGGAGGCTAAGGAGAAAGAATTGCTTGAACCCAGGAGACAGAGGCTGCAGTGAGCTGAGATCGAGCCACTGCACTCCAGCCTGGCGACAGAGCAAGACTCCCATTTCAAAAAAAAAAAAAAAAAAAAAGTATGCATCATAGTTTAGCCATTTGTTCATCAGTACATTGCCTTTTCAAAAATTTTATTTTTTTATTTTTGATTTTTTTGTAGAGACAGAGTCTTCTTGCTGTGTTGCCTAGGCTTGTCTTTGACTCCTCGCCTCAAGTGATCTTCCCATCTTGGCCTCTGAAGTGTTGGGATTACAGGCGTGTGCCATCACACCCAACCTGATACATTTCCTTTATAAATACTGTTTTTTTCCCCTGTATTTCTTCCATAAAAAAAAAAACCCAAAAACAATAAAATGGGCTACATGTGCAGAACGTACATGTTTGTTACATAGGTATACATATGCCATGGTGGTTTGCTGCACCTATTGACTCATCCTCTTAAGTTCCTTCCCCTCACCCCTGGATCCCCCAACAGCCCTGCTGTGTGTTGTTCCCCTCTCTGTGTCCATGTGTTCTCCATGTTCAACTCCCACTTAGGAGTGAGAACATGTGGTGTTTGGTATTATGTTCCTGTGTTAGTTTGCTGAGGATTATGGCTTCCAGGTTCATCCATGTCCCTGCAAAGGACATGATCTCATTCCCTTTTATGTCTGCATAGTATTCCATGGTATGTATGTACCATATTTTCTTTCTCCAGGCTATCATTGATAGACATTTGGATTGGCTCCATGTCTTTGCTTTTGTAAATAGTGCTGCAATAAACGTACGTGTGCATGTGTCTTTTTCTTTTTTGAGTAGAATCTCTTAATCTTTTTCTTTTTTTTTTTTTTTTTTTTGAGATGGAGTCTTGCTCTGTCTCCTAGGCTGGAGTGCAGTGGCACCATCTTGGCTCGCTGCAACCTCAACGTCCTGGGTTCCAGAGATTTTCCTGCCTCAGCCTCCTGAGTAGCTGGGATTACAGGCGTGCGCCACTGCCTGGCTAATTATATATTTTTAGTAGAGGGGGGTTTCTCTATGTTGGCCAGTCTGGTCTCAAACTCCTGACCTCAGTTGATATGCCTTTCTTGGCCTCCCACAGTGCTGGGATTACAGGTGTCAGCCACTGTGCCTGGCCTGCATGTGTCTTTATAGCAGCATGATTTATATTCCTTTGGGTATGTACCCAGTGATGGTCTTGATCCTTGAAAAATCGCCATGTAGTCTTCCACAATGGTTGAACTAATTTATATTCCCACCAACAGTGTCAAAGCATTCCTGTTTTTCCACAGCCTTGCTAGTGTCTTATTGTTTCCTGACTTTTTAATAATTGCCATTCTGACTGGTTCGAAATGGTATCTCATTGTGGTTTTTGATTTACATTTCTCTGATGATCAGTTGTTGAGCTTTTTTTTTTTAAATTTTTAATTTTTATTAAAAATTTTTTTTTTTTAAAGATGGGGTTTCACCATGTTGGTTAGGCTGGTCTTGACCTCCCGTACTCAGGTGATCTGCCCGCCTTGGCCTCTAAAGTGCTTGGATTACAGGCGTGAGCCACCACTCCCAGCCTGAGCTTTTTTAAAATACAGGTATTGATCTACTTACCACCTATGCAACTTACGACCATTCGACTTTACGACCACAATCGCTAGCCACGACTGCTCCGCGTCTGTCAGCGCAAACGTTGCCCAGCTGGGCATACGACAGTGCAGACCAGCTTCCAGCAGCACTACCATCTCTGCATGCATCATTTCAACTGTACATATAGCCTACTCAACTTACGACCAAATCGTGTTACGACCGGTCCGCGGTCCCAACCGTGGTCGTAAGTCAAGCACTAGCTGTATGTTTGTTGGCTGTGTAAATGTCTTCCTTTGAGAAGTGTCTGTTCACATCCTTTGCCCACTTTTTGATGGGGTTGTTTGTCTTTCTTGTAAATATGTTTACATTCCTTGTAAATTCTGGGTATAGACCTTTGTCAGATGAGCAGGTTGCAAAATTTTTTTCCTATTCTGGAGGTTGCCTGTTTGTTCTGATGATAGTTTATTTTGCCGTGCAGAAGCTCTTTAATTTAATTAGAGATCCCATTTGTTAACTTTGGCTTTTGTTACAATTGCTTTTGGTGTTTTTGTCATGAGATCTTTGCCCATGCCTATGTCCTGAATGGTATTGCCTAGGTTTTCTTCTAGGGTTTTTATAGTTTTGGGTTTTACATTTAAGTCTTTAATCCATCTTGAGTTAATTTTTGTGTAAGGTGTAAGGAAAGGGTCCAATTTCAGTTTTCTGCTTGTGGTTAGCCAGTTTTCTTAGCACCATTTACTGAATAGGAGATCCGTTCCCCATTGCTTGTTTTTGCCAGGTTTGTAGAAGATCAGATGGTTGTAGATGTGTGGCGTCATTTCTGAGGTCTCTGTTCTGCTCCGTTGGCCTATATGTCTGTCTGGTACCAGTACCATGTTGTTTTGGTTACTGTAGTTTTGTACTATAGTTTGAAGTCAGGTAGTGTGATGCCTCCAGCTTTGTTCATTTTGCTTAGGATTGTCTTGGCTATATGAAGTTTTCTTTGATTCTATATGAAATAAAAATGTGGAATGCTTCATGAATTTGTGTGTCATCCTTGCTCAGGGGCCATGCCAATCTTCTCTGTATTGTTCCAATCTGTTGCCCAGGATGGAGTACAGTGGCACAATCTTGACTCATTGCAACCTCTGCCTCCTGGGTTCAAACAATTCTCCTGCCTCAGCTTCCTGAGTAGCTGGGATTACAGGTGCCTGCCGCCATGCCTGGCTAATTTTTTTGTAGAGACGAGGTTTCACCATGTTGGCCAGGCTGGTCTCAAACTCTTGACCTCAGGTGATCCGCTAGTCTCGGCCTCCCAAAGTGCTGGGATTATAGGTGTGAGCCACCTTGCCTGGCCTGAACGTTTTTTAAAAGTACTTTTTTTTTGTTTGTTTGAGACAGAGTCTCATTCTGTCACCAGGCTGGAGTGCAGTGGCCCGATCTCGGCTCACTGCAGCCTCCACCTCCTGGGTTTAAGTGATTCACCTGTCTCAGCCTCCCATATAGCTGGGACTACATGTGCGCACTACTGTACCCAGCTAATTTTTGCATTTTTAGTAGAGATGGGGTTTCACCATGTTGGCCAAGATGGTTTTGATCTTTTGACCTTGTGATCCACTGGACTTGGCCTCCCAAAGTGCTGGGATTGCAGGCGTGAGCCACTGCACCCAGCCTTTAAAAGTACTTTGCTTCATTTTATAAATGTGATCCTGAAAAGTTGGAGATAAACATTGTATATATTTGTAAGTATAATACAGGGATAGTTTGAGGGGTGGTTAAATCATATCTTAGTTAACTTTAGAGCAAAGAGACTCTTTTTTGTCTTGTGAATGATCCCCAACTTTTTGTCTTGAATGTTGGTATTGGAGATTTTTCTTGAAGTCAAACATACCTCTTCTAAGAATGGAACCTTTTAAAAGGGAGAGATTTGGTTATTTGAAATTGAAGATAGCTGTGTATACCAGGACACCCCACCATTTGTCTTACTTTACCCACTTCTCCATTTGTTTTACCAGCATCTCTTGTTTTCCTGTTCCATGCACTAGAAATCTTGGAGCCGTCTTATTTTTATAATATATACTTCCTATGTGTTGATTTTGTTTTCCCTAATAGAGTAAATTTTTGAAGGTAGGAGGCATCTCTTAATATCCTTTAGTGATGAGCATAATAAGAGATTTTAATAAATACATATTTGGCAAAGATGAGAGAGGTGGAGAGAGAAAGAAGTTTCTCTGCTGAAAAAGTGTGATTACTTTTGGTTTTTGTCTACTTCATATGGTACCCATCACCAGTGGGGAATTTCTTCCACTTGCAGACCAAGTGTGTCCTCTGCCAAAGAAATGTGATTACTTTTGGTTTTTGTCTACCTCATGTGGTACTATATCACTAGCAGGGAATTTCTTCCATTTGCAGACCAAGTATGTTGGGGACTTGAGACGTGTATATGTTGTTTCCTGCTGAAAGCCCAGGTAAGATAGCAGAATCCAGATTGGGCCCTGAAGAATCTGACTTGATATCATGTAGAATGACTTCTGTGATAGCCCTGAGGAGAGAATCTCAGATTTCTATCCTCTTTTAAACATCAATCCTGAATATTTAACTGTCAGCAGGGCAGCTAGACCTGAACATGCTTTAGGTTTCTTTCTTTCTTTCTTTCTTTCTTTCTTTTTTTTGAGACAGATTTTTGCTCTTGTTTCCCAGGCTGGCATGCAATGGCATGATCTTAGATCACTGTAACCTCCACCTTCTGGGTTCAAGTGATTCTCCTGCCTCAGCCTCTGGAGTAGCTGAGATTACAGATCATGACTGGCTAATTTTTTGTATTTAGTAGAGACAGGGTTTCACCATGTTGATCTGACCAGTCTTAAACTACTGATGTCAGGTGATCCAATCATCTCGGCCTTCCAGAGTGCTGGGATTACAGGTGTGCAACACCGCATGTGGCCAGCTTTAGGCTTCTTAAACTCAGTAGCACATAGGAATGCTTGTTAAAAGTGATTTTGCAAAATATAAAATAAAAAGAAAAGTGATTTTGCTTTTTTTGCCAGTAGTATATGAAAGCACTTAATACAGGGCCTGGCTTATAGTTGGTGTCCAAGAGATGACAGAGAGTATGTGAGAAATATTTTCAAATAGTTGAATCTTTCCTAAGTGCCCTGCCCCCACTCATGTGCCCATACTCCCCACCCCAGGCTAAAGATACAGGTGACAACAACGTGGATTTCACCTTTGGGAAGTTTCCAGTTCCTTGTTTGTGGCTTTATGCTCAAACAAGAAGTGTAGTCTGTTCCTACATAACTAAGAGCAGATAGATCTGAACCCTATCTACCCTCACCCCAGACTGAAAGTATTTGAATCAAACTAACATGTCTGGTCACCCTAAACAGCTTTCTTGGTAGGGACCTAGTCTCGAGAATGTTAGTAGGGAAGTCTCTGAATCTGTGGGGTAACTGGGCAAGGCAGTAGATATGGGGATTGAGCATGAATTAATTTACCCAGGATAACTTATGAGTACAGGCATAGAGGAGAGGACAGGGTAGGGGCCAAAAAGGGCTTGACTCTGTCATTTCTGCA